TTTTTTTTTTTTTAAGAGACAGAGTCTCACCATATTGCCCTTGGTAGAGTGCCATGGCATCATAGCTCACAGCAACCTCCAGCTCTTGGGTTTAGGTGATTCTCTCGTGTCAGCCTCCTGAGTAGCTGGGACTACGGGCACCCGCCACAATACCTGGCTATTTTTTTGAAGTTTGGCCAGGGCCAGGTTTGAACCCGCTGCCCTCCGTATATGGAGCCAGTGCCTTACTCACTGAGTAAGTGCCACTTCACATTTTTTTTAGAGACAAAGTCTTACTCTGTTGTCCTAGGGTGCCATGGCATCAGCCTAGCTTACAGCAATGTCACACTCTTGACAATGTCACACTCAATGTCACGATCTGAGGTGATCGTCCTGCCTCAGCCTCCCGAATAGCTAGGACTACAGGTGCCCACCACTATGCCCAGGTAGTTTTTCTATATATTTTTTTCTTTTTTTGGAAGAGATGGGATTTTGCTCTTGCTTAGCCTGGTATGAAACTACTGAGCTTAGACAGTATACCTGCCTCACCCTCCCAGAATGCTAGGATTAGATTTTTTTGTTTTTTTGATTAAGTCTCACTCTGTCACCCTCAGAAGAGTGCTGTGGCTGGCATCATCTTAACTCACAACAACCTCAAATTCTTGGCTCAAGTAATCCACTTGCCTCAGCCTCCCCAGTAGCTAGGACTATAAGAGCCCACCATTAAGCCAGCTAGTATTTTTATTTTTCTATTTTTATTTTTTTTGAGACAGAGCCTCAAGCTGTCACCATGGGTAGAGTGCTGTGGCGTCACAGCTCACAGCAACCTCAAACTCCTGGGCATAAGCGATTCTCTTGCCTCAGCCTCCCAAGTAGCTGGGACTACAGGGGACTGCCACAACGCCCGGCTATTTTTTGATTGTACTTGTCATGTTGTTTGGCCGGCCCAGGCTGGATTCCAGCCCGCCAGCTCTGGAGCTCTGGTGTATGTGGCTGGTGCTTTAGCAGCTTGAGCTACAGGCGCCACCCAACTTCAGTGATTCTCTTGCCTCAGCCTCCCAAGTAGCTGTGACTACCGGTGCCCGCCACAACGCCTGACTATTTTTTGGTTGTAGTTGTCATGTTGTTTGGCAGGCCCAGGCTGGATTCGAACCCACCAGCTCTGGTGTATGTGGCCGGCACCTTAGCCACTTGAACTACAGGCTGAGCTGAGTTTTTCTATTTTTTAGCAGAGAAGGGGTCTCACTCCTGCTTAGGCTGGTTTCACAAACTCCTGACCTCAAACAATCCACTGGCCTCAGCCTCCCAGAGTGCTAGGATTATAGGTGTGAGCCACCATACCCAGCAATATAAGTATTTTTAAAGCCAAATCATGCATAGTCATTGCTTTCTTTTTTCACCTAATTTATCATGGATATCCTGTGATCAATACATAAAGATCTAATTTGTTCTTTTTTTTTTTTTTTTTGAGACAAGAGCCTCAAGCTGTCCCCCTGGGTAGAGTGCTGTGGCATCACAGCTCACAGCAACCTCAAACTCCTGGACTTAAGTGAGTCTTCTGCCTCAGCCTCCCAAGTAGCTGGGACCACAGGTGACCGCCACAACGCCCGGCCATTTTTTTTGGTTGTAGCTGTCATTGTTGTTTGGTAGGCCCGGGCTGGATTTGAACCCACCACCTTGGGTGTACGTGGCTGGTGCCTTAGGCACTTGAGCCACAGGCACCGAGCCCTAATTTGTTCTTTTGATGGTTCCTTAGTATTCCATTATGTGGACCCTATTATTTATTATAAGCATTATTTTCCTTTCTTTGACATGTAGATTATTTCTAATTATTAACAAATCAATCTGCAGTGAATTATTTTTACATATAAATATGGGCATTTCTGACTATTAGGATAAATGGTTAGACCTCTCTGTTTTAAAAACACATATTTTTATTGGAGCAACAAGATCTTTTCTGCTTGAATTTGATTCATGTTGTCTATAAAAAGAATCAAACTAGGTCAGACACGGTGATTCCACCTGTAATCTTAGTACTTGGGAGGCCTATGAGGGTGGATTGCCTGAGATCACAAGTTTGAGACCAGCCTGAGCAAGAGGGAAACCGCCATCTCTAAAAAGTAGCTGGGTGTTGTGGTGGGGCCTGTTGTCATTGCTACTTGAGAGGCTGAAGTAAGAGAATCGCTTGAGCCCAAGAGTTTTAGGTTGCTGTGAGCTAAGATGCCATAGCCCTCTACCATAGATGACCAAGTAAGACTGTCTCAATAAATAAATAAATAAGTAAAATAAAAGAATCAAACATGTCTTCAAAAGTAAACAATGGTTGGGCATGGTGATTTATGTCTATAATCTAACACTTTAGGCTTGGTGTGTCTAGCTCAGCAGCTAGGGTGCTGGCCACATAAACCAGAGCTGGTGGGTGCAAACCTGACCCAGGGCCTGCCAAACAACAATGACAGCTACAACAACAACAACAACAAAAATAGCCTGGTGTTGTGGCAGGCACCTATAGTCCCAGCTACTCAGGAGGCTGAGGCAAGAGAATCACTTAAGCCCAAGAGAATTAGAGGTTGCTGTGAGTTGTGACGCCACGGCACTCTACCAAGGGTGACAGGGCAACATAGTGAGACTCTGTCTCAAAAAAAAAAAAAAAAAGTCCAGCACTTCCTGCTGAGGCAGGAAGATCATTTGTTGGCAGAAGTTTGAGACTAGTCTCAGTAACATAGTAAGCCCCATCCCTAAAAAGTTAACAAAAAAGATTAAAAGTAAACAATGGTGGTATAAAGCAACAAACCATAGGTTATTTTTTTTTCTCTGGCAAAACCAAACCAAAACAAAAAACAGATTAGGGACATTACTCCTTGCCCCTGAGAAGTTTATTTTGCAAAATTTTGAGAATTTGGGGCAGCACCTGTGGCAAAGAGGGGTAGAGTGCTGACCCCATATACTGGAGGTGGTGGGTTCAAATCCGGCCCCAGCCAAAAACTGCAAAAAAAAAAAAAAAAAAAAAAATTTTGAGAATTTTTTTTGTTTTTGAGACAAGGTGTTGCTCTGTCATCTATGCTGGAATGCAGTGGCGCAATCGTAGCTCACTGAAGCCATGAATTCCTGGGCTTAGCCTTAAGAGATTCTCTGTCTCATCTTCTCAAGTGTCTGTGACAATAGGAGTGCACCAGTACGCTTTGCTGATTCTTAAGGTTTCCATAGGTTCTCCATATGTTGCATAGGCTGGCTTCAAGTAGTCCTCCTGCCAGTCCCAAAGTGCTGAGATTATAGGCATGAGCCACCACTTTTGGCCAGAAATTTAATTTCTTAAAAACTGCCTATATAGGCTTGGCACCTGTGGCTCAAGTGGCTAAGGTGCCAGCCACATACACCTGAGCTGGCGCGTTCAAATCCAGCCCAGGCCCGCCAAACAATGACGGCTGCAACCAAAAAATAGCCAGGCGTTGTGGCCGGCTCCTGTCGTCCCAGCTGCTTGGGAGGTAGAGGCAGGAGAATCACTTAAGCCCAGGAGTTGGAGGTTGCTGTGAGCTATGATGCCACAGTACTCTACCCAGGGCAACAGCTTGAGGCTCAAAAAAAAAAAAAAAAAATTGCCTATATAGTTTTCTTGGCTGGGCGCCTGGTGCTGAGTGGTTAGGGCGCTGGCCACATGCACCGGAGCTGGTGGGTTCTAACCCAATCCAGCCCTGCTAAAACAAAAAAAAACAGCTGAGTGTTGTGGCAGATGCCTGTAGTCCCAGCTACTAGGGAGGCTGAGGCAAGAGAATAACTTGAGCCCAAGAGTTTGTGCTTGCTGTGAGCTATGACGTCACAGGACTCTACCGAGGGTGACAAAGTGAGTCTCTGTCTCAATTAAAAAGAAAAATTTGCCTGTACATTTTTCTTAAAAGACTATATAATCCATAGCCATTAAAGACATTTAGAGGAGAGGGGAAGTAATGTAACATTTGAACATCAACTATGTGCCACCATTCTTAGACAGATTAGGGGGATAGAGATGAACAAGACATTGCTGCTACCCTATAGGATTACAATTTAGTCCAGGTGAGGAGACAAACAAAGCAATTGAACTTAAGAACAAGGTGAAAAGTCATCATTAACAGCCAAAAAGATATGAAATTAAGAGTGATAGGCTGTGTGGGAGACTCCTTTTGGAGGACACATTTTTGAGATATATCTTAATGTAATGGGCAATTGATGGAGAGGACCCAGCCGGAAAAAAGGAATGTTAAAAGCAAAAAGAACCAAACAGTTATGTGAGTTGTCTGAAGTAAGGCAGATATGTCAGATATAGGACTAACATAGCTTATAGCTTACAGCTCTTAGAAAAAGAACATTATCAATATGGAAAATTAAGTAGTTGGCTTTTCTCTCCAATACGATTTCTCATAAAAGTAATAAATTACACTAGAAGATGTTGGTCTCTTCAGAAGTATGAAGTGTGTTTTAGGGAACTAAGTGCTTCTGACTAGAATATACTTGATCCTGGATGAGAACAGATTATTCAGAAAATATGAACATCTTTGAAAGGAGCTGTTTAATAATTGAGGTGCAATTGTGAAGTCTTTAAAACATACAAAGCACTTTAGATTTTTAAAGGTTAATCTGTTTGATAAGTGCCCTTTGTGTTAGCTAATGTACTGTATTGAAGTAACAGTAACAATTGAAAGTATAATGCCTTGGTTAGAAATCCATGTCCCTTTTGAAGGCAATAATTCTGTTATTTTTAATATCTTTAGGACACAGAGTCTGGCATCCAATAATTCAGTCATTCTGGATGGACTACAAAGAAGACAGAATTTTGTGCAGAGCTTCGAAGGCACAAAGAGCAGTCATATACTCACATCCAATTCCTTACTGCAACTAACACCAGTCATAAATGTTTAATTATCTATTGAAAACTTTTTGGGGCTCAGCACCTGTAGCTCAGTGAGTAGGGCACCAGCCACATACACTCAGGCTGGTGGGTTTAAGCCTGGCCTGGGCTGGGTAAACAACAATGACAACTGCAACAAGAAAACAGCCAGGCGTTGTGGCGGGTGCCTGCAGTCCCAGCTACTTGGGAGGCTGAGGCAAGAGAATCACTTAAGCCTAAGAGTTTGAGATTGCTGTGAGCTGTGATGTCACAGCACTCTACTGAGGGTGACATAGCAAGACCTTGTCTCAAAAAAAAAAAGAAAGAAAGACAGACAACTCTATGGGGTGTAAAAATGTACAGCATCACTATGACTCTTTCAATCAACTAAGTATTATAATCTTTAAAAGCTAAATATATATATATGTATACACACATATATAATTAACCTTACTACATATTTTGTTCTAATCACTGTTTTTTTCCCTTTTTTGGTGTTTTAAAGCCTTTTAAAGAGCCTATTTTACTATGAATTTATTGGGAATATACAAATTATTTGCAATATAAAACATGGAATCATTGGTCCTTTTCTAATTAAATGTAATTAACTTGAATTATTAGATATTCATTGGTTTCTTAAATATATAGGATACTAATTTACTACCTAGTATGAACTTTTTTTTAAGCCTACACTAATAGTGAGTTCTATATTAAGTGGATCTCACCAGATTTCAACACAAAATCTAGAAAACTGTATGCGTTTGATGTTTGTATAGATACTTTGCAAGTGAAGTCTTTTTTTTTTTTTTTTTTTTTTTTGAGACAGAGCCTCAAGCTGTTGCCTGGGTAGAGTGCTGTGGCTTCACAGCTCACAGCAACCTCCAACTCCTAGGCTTAAGCAATTCTCTTGCCTCAGCCTCCCAAGTAGCTGGAACTACAGATGCCCACTACAATACTGGCTATTTTTTTGGTTGTAGTTATTGTTTGGCAGGCCTGGGCTGGATTTGAACCTGCCAGCTCTGGTGTATGTGACTGGCGCCTTAGCTGCTTAAATTACAGGCACTAAGCCTCTGAAGTCTTATCATATCAGAAAGGATTTATATAAATGGTGTTTGCTACTTTGCAAATTCCTTTTATCGGCCAGGTGTGGTGGCTCACACCTGTAATACCAGCACTCTTGGAGGCCAAGGTGGGTGGATTGCCTGAGCTCATGAGTTCAAGACCAGCCTGAGCCAGAGTGAAACCTCATCTCTAAAAATAGCTGGGCATATATGGTGGGCGTCTGTAGTCCCAGCTACTTGGGAGACTGAGGCAAGAGAATCACTTGAGCTCAAGAATTTTAGGTTGCTGTGAGATGTGGTGCCACAGCTCTACGAGGGGGGAGGAGCAAGAAAGCAAGACTCTATCCCAAAACAAACAAACAAAAGAATTCTTTTTATCCAATTATTGTTGCCCAGGATTTTCTCTTCAGCCATTTTGGACTGGCAACAGATGGCTCCAAATGTGACTGACGGAGAGTGTCCAAAATTCCTGTGGCAATAGATATCTGGCTCTAGTATTTCTCTGGTTCCTCCCGACATTTTACATCTCAGGCTACCTCTATGTATCATGCCAAAGAAAAGTCAGATAGTAGAGATAGAAAGTGGAGACAGAATGAAAGCTTAGTGGTTATGGAATGTCTTGTGAGAAGGGAGGTTCTTTTGTTTGTTTGTGTTTTTGCAGTTTTGGGCCAGGGCCACGTTTGAACCCATGGCCTCTGGTATATGGGGCTGGCGCCCTACTCCTTTGAGCCACAGGCACCTCCCAGGTATTTAGAGAAAAGATGGAAGATAGCTGATACACATTTAGCAGTTGTATATTTAGATCTATGTCTGCTCATGATAAAGACCTAGATAGCTTTGCCAGAATTTTTTCCAGCAGGCCTTTTCAGACCACGTACTGGACTGGTCAGTTCTCTTGGGTTTAGGGAACATGGAGAAATCAAATCTGATTTCAGCACACCTGATAGATGATGGTGCTGTTTTATAATTGAGGGGATATTTTCTCTTAGAGGTTTCTAAGGATTATCAAGGCCTTAGATTGTCAGGGCCCAGGACTGGCCAGGTCTCGGGCCCAGCTTAGATAGGTTCTGGATGCGGACCACTAAGCTACCTTGCTCAGGAACAGTTTCTTGTAGGTGCTTGAGGGCTATCTACTTTAGCTGGAGAGAGAGAGACAGAGTATCTTAGAGAGAGTAAAGGTCTTCTTAGAACAGATAGCTCTTAGTCTTTAGCAGAGCTTGGTAATCTTCAGCAGAGATGCTGTGCTGGCGTTCTGCAGGCGGGAGAGGAGACAGAGTCAGAGTAAGTGGATCCGTGATAGGATGCGCACACCTCTTGACTGCCTGCTCCTCCAGCCTAATATAAGGCTGAGCTCGTGCGTCTCAACACCACAGGTGTAGAGACTGCCAATTCACCAATGCTCTCAGCTCGCTCATGCTTGTTAGAACCAAATCTCTCTCCATGCCCTTTTCACCAAGGTGTTCCATTACAGGTATTTCCTATAACTCTCACTCTTCCTACCATAGGCTATATGGGCTGCTACATTAGATCTCAAGGATAATTGAATAATTAGAGTGCCTTTTTCCAGTTATTACCATCCTGATAACAATGAAGGCCAGAGTTAAGCTCAGCACTGTGGGGAGGTATGTGTATCCCGATGGGATGGCAAAGGAAGGGCGGTGAGATTCACTGCTCTGTTTTGCAGTGGTCAGAACACTGACTCTTGACTGTTGGTTTTCAGCGGGCCCCAACCAAAATACCATGGCATTCCAAGAAGATTAGTCATGGTCACAAGGACATTGTAAACCTGCTAAGAGTACCAAGAGGGGTGATGTGGCATAGAAAAAATCTGTAGGGGAGATAGGGATGAGGGAATTATTTTAGGGGGGCTTATAGCATGGTATCAGTGAATGGAAATTAGGAGAAAGATTTCAACTCAGGATGAAGAACTTCCTATTAGACAAAATTATTTGAAGGGAAAGTAGACAGCTTTGTAAAGTAATGAATTCCCATTATTTACAGTATTCAAGCAGAGGCTTGATCATATCTTCACTGATGTGTTGCAGACGAGTGGCCAATATTTAGTTTAACAGGTTGGAGAATGCTTCCAACTCTAAAGATTTATGCTTATAAGATTTAGTCAGTGGCTTGGCGCCTGTGGCTCAAGTGGCTAAGGCGCCAGCCACATACACCTAAGGTGGCGGGTTCGAATCCAGCCCGGTGCCCGCCAAAAACAACAATGAAGGCTGCAACCAAAAAATAGCCGGGCATTGTGGCGGGTGCCTGTAGTCCCAGCTACTTGGGAGGCTGAGGCAGGAGACTCTATTGAGCCCAGGAGTTGGAGGTTCCTTGTGAGCTGTGGTGCTATAGCACTCTACCCAGGGGGATAGCTTGAGGCTCTGTCTCAAAAAAAAAAAGATTTAGTGAGGATCATGTGAAATACTGAACTCATCTAAGATTCCTGAGTATTGCTTCCAGGTCTCCATTTCTACACCTATCCCCATGAACCTATGGAAAAAGGATCACCAACAACTGTGTTTTATCTTTGGTTTATGGACTGGACAACTTTCTTAGTCAAGTGAGGAATCCAAAATCTCTTGTGGCTCTAGGCACGTAGAGATACGAATACCCATGAAATCCATCTAATTTTGCTGGGGCTGCATCATGACACACTCTCTACTTAGATGCATTCAATGAAGCAAGATGTTATGAAACCAATAAATTTCTCTTCTACAAAACTCATCATATAACACAGATATTAAAAACAGGAATATGAGCTATTAACTTGTAATTTGACTAGGTGGGGCATAGTGGTAAATGCATGTAGACCCAGCTACTTGGGAGGCTGAGGCAAGAGGATCACTTGAGCTCCAGCGTCTGAGGTTGCTGTGAGCTATGGTGACATCCTAGCACTCTACCAAGAGGGACAAACTGAGACTGTCTCAAAAAAATTTTTTTTTGTTTGGGAGATATTCTATAAAACAGATAACCTGCATTTCCCCCCCAATAATAATTGCTTTTTGGTGGAAACTAGCTCTTTGTCTTTCCTCTTGTGGTCTATTCTCTAGTGAGAAAACTCTTTACTTCAGGCATCTTGGTAATCTGAGTTAGGAGTCAGACACAAGTCTGAATCCCAATTCTAATCCTTGGTAGCTGTGTGATGGGGCACGTTAAAACTTCTCTAATTTGTTTTCCTCATCTGCAAAAGGGAGATTGTAATGATATCTACCTTACAGGATTGTTGTGAGATTTGGGAGTAATCTATTAAAAGTGTCCCAAGAAGGACATTGTGGCAGGCACCTGTAGTCCCAGCTATTTGGGAGGCTGAGGCAAAAGAATCGCTTAAGCCCAAGAGTTTGAGGTTGCTGTGAGCAGTGATGTCCAGGCACTCTACCGAGGGCAACATAGTAAGATTCTATCCCCTCTACCAGCCAAAAAAAAAAGAAAAGAAAAAGTGTCCAAGGTAGAGAGTACCTACTATTTTATAAATATATATATATATGTGTGTGTGTGTGTAATTCTAATATGTAGTCATAATACTTGCCTGATAAGTAAATATATGGCCTGCTATATAGGTACTCTGTTTTTGTCAAGTTGTCTGGAATTCTTCCATTACAGATTTAGTCCTTTAGGTAAAGATTATAGAATGTATCTTCCTTTGAAATCCAGGTATGCCTAGGAAGGTAATATGTCTTTAGGTAACAAGTTTACAGTTAATACTTTATTTTATAATGAGGAATAAGGCATGAAAACTATGGGCTTATTGTAGACATTCATACATCTGTGGGATAAGATACTGCTTATCCTTTCTTATCTGGGAACTTAAGACTCTTCCTAGGAGTGCTTAAGAGAATAGCTGGGTTCTTTGCAAGCTGTTACCAATATTTCAAAAATCCTAATAGAAATTGTACATTTTCTTTGCCTGACTCAAACTCCTTGCTAACTAAGACAGTAAGTTCCTTTGCCCGTGGTTGAAATTATACCCGCTTACTAATGTAACACTATTCCATGT